GAAAAGTAAAATTTATATATATATATATATATATATATATACATATACATACACATACACATATAGTTTTTAGTGCTGTCAAACAATTAATCGCAATTAATCGCATCCAAAATAAACGTTTTTGTTTACATAATATGTTTGTATTGTGTATATTTATGTATATATAAATACACACTCCAGTATATATTTAGAAAATATTTACATGTATTTACATGTACATATTTATATTCTTATATTTTATATTATATATAAATATACTGAACATATAAATATAACATATTTTTCTTAAATATATACATGCATGTGTTTGTATTTATATATACATAAATATACACATTATACACACATATGTTATGTAAACAAAAACGTTTATTTTGGATGCGATTAATCGCAATTAATCGTTTGATTATTGTTATTATTATTATGAATGTTTACTTGTTTTTTATTATAAATGAATGTTATTATTAGAAATGTTCTTGACTGGTTTTCAGAGAGAGAAAAGTAAACAACAACAACAGTAATAATAATAAATATTTTATTAATAATAATAATAATTACTATTATTATTATTTTTATTATATACTGAGTGTTTAAACATTTCATTTGAGCTATTAGCTAGCTGAATATTAAATAATTTCCAGTATATAAATACCAATGTAGTATAGTCACAATTCAATATATTACAAATGTGTCTTACTATGTGGACGCGGTACAGGATACTGATGCCAAGGTTCATGAAAGGTTTGGAGAAATCGATGACCTTCTCCCTCTCTGATGTGATGGTAAATCCAGCCACTGCCAAATCTGCTTTCTGTAACAAACAGAAAAAGAGAGAATTACTAGTAAACTAGTTTTATAGAATGCACATTTTGCCATCAGTGCGGATGCATCAGGCAAAAACATTTTAGGTAACAAATACTATTGAATACTAAATTACATTTGCAGAGGTATTTGTCACTCATAATGTCTAATAACAGAGTTAATTGGAATAAAGTAGCACATAAATGACCTTAAACACACATGAACAAAAACCCTATTTTAACCCTGATTTTGATTTCTCAAGCACAAAAATAAGTGCTATATTCATACATTAGATTATACAAAAACCTTTAAAGAAATGGCTGAAGTCTTGAGTAAAATCAAGCACACATGTACTTACTCTATAATTTGAGACCAATTAAATCAAGCGAGTTTCAGTCACTGAAACATTTTAAAGACTAAATGAACAATAAAAGTATTTTAAAAATGACCTATAATAAACCTGATGGCCTTCCGGTACACCTACAGTATGCTTCAAGGTTTTACTGAATTTTACTGACAGATACTAACTATCAACTAAGCACTCATTAGCATATCGCTGTGTCAGTTGTAAAATGCTTGACTGGAAGCAGGCCTGTGATTTGGTTACATGTTGTTGGTGCTCCACGTGTGTTCCCATGCTAAACAACATTGACCTTGGTTTCAAGAAGCACTCGAGAAGAAAAGCGTTTGACATTATCTGAGCTTCATTGATGAAGACAAGGAGTGGCAGAGAAAAGAAAAAGGATATTTAGCACAAGTAGAAGGAACAAAGAGATGGGAGAAGAATTGAAAAGGGGAAAGTCAAGGCTGGACAGCTGGATGGATGAATGGACAGATAATAAAGGGATGTAAGTGCACTGGAAGAAGCCTGGGTTGATGGAAGAATTCGATATGAGAGTCCTTGGGTAAAAGGAAAGAGATTTATTTATTACGGGGAAGGAGAGAGAAATACAGGGCTAAAAAGTGCAATACAGCCCTATGAAAAAAGGAAAGAGCGAGGGGGAGAAATAAAGCGACGGTCCTTGAGAGCAGAAACAGATACAGAAGGGGGCGATGAGGAATGGTTAAGAACAGAGAGATGGTAAAGACAGGCTTCCAGTGAGGACACAGGGAATATTGTGCCCTTGAGAGATGAAGGGAACAAGGGATACGCATGAAAAATGAAGGGGGAGAGCATAAAAAAAGCACAAGAGTGAAAGTTCCTGAGGAAGGAAAAGAACAATAATGAATAAAAAAAGCCCACTGTGGCATTATTTTGCCCTTTTTCTTTCCTTCCTCTAGAAGGAGGGGGGGACAGTGTTAGAGTAACTAAAAATAGTCAGGCTACTAAATTAATTGCATTTTTCAGTAGTGTGACAGTAGTTGAACGGTTTCAAAAGAGGTGAAGTTTTTATTTTAAGATGCAGTGTAGAAAAAATTGGTACATATTTTTTTCACACTGTACTTCACACAGAGCGTTACAGCCAAACAAACTCAGGTAAAAAATCAAACACTGGAAAATCTGGAGTCTTACAAGTTTCATTTGTGTAAATAATAATAGTTTATATATATACACACACATTTTACAAAGACATAATAATTGGACTAGGTTATTTATATAAACTTTGATGTTTTATGTTTATACACATATATACATATTGTAAACTGATCTTCTGTAATCCTCATAATTTTTGAGTCAATTTATTTTTAAACCATCGCTTCTGGCTATAATCCATAATAATGCTTTCTCCAGTGATAAAGCCCCATGTTGTCTCTCACATCAAAATTCACCAACATATTTGTTTTGGACAATTTTTGCTTGTAAATGCGACTTTTTTAAAGGCGACTTTTATGGACTGTTGTGGATTTTAGCAACGGAAGCAACAGCTTGAAGTTAAAAGCATCTTAATGATGGATTTGTTTCTTCACAGGACATTAACTGATGTACTGGACTGGTGTGGATTACTTGTGGATTATTGTGATGTATTTATCAGCTGTTTGGACTCTCATTCTGACGGCACCCATTCACTGCAGAGGATCCATTGGTGAGCAAGTGATGGAATGCTAAACTTCTCCAAATCTGTTTTGATGAAGAAACAAACTCTACATTTATATCCTGGATGGCCTGCGGATGAGTAAATTGTCAGCAAATTTTCATTTCTAGGCGAACTATTCCTTTAAACAGCTTTGAAATCTGTTTCAAAGCCCGCCCCCCTCCGAATAACTTACATGCAATTACTCTAGCTGCTTTTATCGGAAGCTAGTAGTCTAACTTTGTCAACCTGAATGATTTGAAACAACAAGTAGCTTGCAGTTTGTCAAGCAAAATAGTTTCCCCAACAGTAGGGGTGATCAATAGCAGTTTATTCTGCTTAAAAACCCAAGTGTACCCCAGATATCTCTCAATCTGCTTAATTACTGGCTAATTGATTACTGAGAGATAGCTTTGTAAACCATCAAACGCTGGTGTCAGGCAAGAGCTGAAGTGCATGTCCATGGAGAAAGATAGGCGGTATGTGTGCGCATGGTTTACACACACAATACGTCAACAAGTGCCAACAGCACACTAGCGTTAGCAGCTGTGATGGTATAGCGAATTAGAATTAGACACAGAAGGAACTGATTAGTATGTGTGTGTGTTGGCGTATTTCAAAAGGGCATTGCCGAGACCTGGGGTTAATAGAATGACACTACCGTTCTTATTACTGCTGCCATTATTTTTAGCATAAGTGTGAATAGCGCTAATATCAGTAATCGTTACTCTAATGGAAACATCAGCTGGCAAAGGTCCAGTGTGGAAATCCTGCTAATTGCATTCAAACATTCGAACATGTAAAAGAAATTTTAATAAATAAATTAAATAATTTTTTATATTTTCATAACACAGGTGTATGTGTCATACACCTGATTTTATATATATATATATAAACAAATTAATTATAAATATTATATTATATATTAAATAGAATGTTTGGGGGTTACTTCAAATTTTTTGAGAGAATTTTCATGAATGAACATACAATTACACGAAACAAATAGTAACTGTAAATTCAGATTGGACGCAGTATTCAACGATTAAAAAAAAAATGCTACGAATATTTTTTATTTAGATTAGTAATATTAATACATTTCATTAATTACTGAACATTGGTAACTTTATCATATTGCTGTTGCTGCAGTTTTATTACAGCAATTAAGGCATGTGTACTTTTAATAGACAAAAGCAAAAAATTAATTGTGGTTTAGCTTTAGATTTGATCATTAAACATTAAATATTATACATCATACATCACATTTATATTAATTATACATTACATTTAATAATGTCTAATATATTCAATATATGATATTGAATAAAAATGGTTGGAGGTTATTTCAGACATTTTGATGAATATACAATTACATTAAACAAATAGCTTTTAACACTAAATTCAGAATATACAAGCTGTAGAAAAAAAATGTGAAATGTTTTTTTCAATTAGTTTTTGTTATTAAACATTAGTGCATTATCATATTCCTGCTGCTGCAGTTTTATTAAAGCAATAAGCCACAAGGCATCTGCATTTTTAATGGATATAAAAGCAAATAAAACCTGTATTATAAAAGAACAATGTCTAATATATTCAATATATAATAATATATATATTGTTTGAAGGTTATTTCACACGTTTGATGAATGAACATACAATTACATTAAACAAATAGTTTTTAACTCTACATTCAGATTGTACAAGCTGTATTAGAAAAAAAAATGCTGTTGTTTGACAACTTTAAATAATTGTTTATTCAGATTATGAATAATTAAAACATTTTATTTCAGGATTGCTTTTACTTGATTATCTGTGCTGTTTTGTATTTTCGTTAAAGTGTATTGGTTTTACATTGTTGTGCTTGCTTTTGTGTAAAGCACTTTAAGAAAGTAACGTTAAAAGGTGCTATACAAAAGAAATGTATTATTATTAATAATAAATGTAATTACTTGTTGAACATTGGTGGATTTGATCATATTCCTGTTGCTGCATTTTTATTAAAGCAATAAGAATCAAGGAATGCACATTTCCAATGGATATAAAGCAAATAAAAAACTCATGTTATAAAAAGCCCAAGAGTTTCATTGAGGGTCAGGGTGACTGAAAAGGGTCTCTATTTTTACATAATGTGTCCACAGAGCTTAATTATGGACACGCAGACATGCATACCCTGTTGATGAGTTCCCCCACCATGCCAGTCCATGACCCATTAGGTTCCGGAGCTCCATACAGCCCGTCATCCACCAGCTTGATCCGGAAGGAAAACTTCAGTATGCCTGCCAGCTCCCGCAGCATATCCACACAGAATCCCTCATACTGATCATTACCCTGAAAGTCCTGGTAGTTTGCCTTGCGCATCACGTATGGATCTTCCTATAAAACAGGACGAAGGTAACATTTAACGCTCTAATATTCCACTCTCAGTTTCTATACAGTGAAGCACCATAAACTCAATGAAAGTCAATAGCCATACAGTGGAAGTGGCATTTTGATTGGTGTTAAGCCATGAAATGGCAGTAAAATCCAGTGAAACGGTGCTTCCTTGGCCTTGACATGCGAAAGTTCCTATTTGGCTGCAGATTCCTGTTTTGAATGTATTATTTCTTCTACAGTATGTTGTTACCTCGGGATAGCAAACCTATTTTCTTCATTTTGCAAACACATGATGCAAATAAGATGGTTAACAATGAAGGGATGACTTGTTATGCCATGAGATTGTTATTGTTTTTTAAACAGAACAAATACAAACATTAAAACATTCCAAAATAATTAGAGTCCAATACATTTGTATGTTATTAGGAGTTGCTTAAATGTGTTTGTTGCCTGGTAGCAACATTGTATGATAGTGGAATGAATAATGATGCAGTGAATATGGATGCAATCAATGAAGGTACTATAGAAAATATTGCAACTATCATTTGTTGTTTTTAATTTACATTTTGATCTTCCGTGGTATTATCCACTCTACTTTCATAATGGGACATATTTCAGTGAAACACTAAATTAAATGAGAAAAATGCAAAGCAATTCTCGGTGTTATCCATCTGGAATTGATTGGATGCTGAGACGTGGCTGTTATATACCAGAATGGAACGAAACCGAAAGTTGGTATAGAAATTGTTGGCCTGAGCTAGAAACTGATGACTTTCCCACAATAAGACTAGGAAAGTGCATTAAAGGGATAGTTCACCCAAAAATGAAAATTACCCCATGATTTACTCACCCTCAGGCCATCCTAGGTGTATATGACTTTCTTCTTTTAGACGAATACAATCGGCGTTATATTAAAAGGGTCATATGATGCTGCTAAAAAGAACATTATTTGGTGTATTTGGTGTCACATCTGAATATTTGGGTTGAACTGTTCTGGAACAGTGTTGTAAATACAACTTAACCACTGATTTCCAGTCGTGTACTCTTTTGGAAGGCCAAACAAAGTAGTTTCGCTTTCACAATGAAAAAGCGTCACACACCGCGGCCTTGAGTGAGCGGAGGCCGGAGGCCTACAGTGAGCCGTGGCCTAGAGTATGCGGAGTGAGCGGCGGCCGGCGGTCTTGAGAACGGCGCGGCTGAAATCGCATCATATGACCCCTTTAAAATATGTCCTGGCTCTTCCAAGCTTTATAATGGCAGTGAATGAGGTTTAAGATAAAGTTGGATGGATGAAGTCCAACAAATGTGCATAAATCCATCATAAAAAGTGCTCCACACAACTCCAGGATTTCTTCCGAAGCGAATCAATGCCTTTGTGTAAGAAAAATATCCATATTCAAAATTGTATAAACCATAATCTCTAGCTTCTGCTAACTGTCGTACGCGCATCCACGAGAGAGTGGCGTCCAGCGGATGACGTAGGATGTTGGCATGGCGTAGCGTAAGCTCCAGTGAGAATATGCTAGTCTCGCAAGAACCAAGTTTTGTTTACAGCAAAGGAAAACCAGTCTCCTCATGGCTTATATAGAAATCCTTCGACATTTTCCTTTACAAATCCTCATTTTGTACTTCTAATTTGTGACCGGTGTTTAGTTTTGCTTTCTCCTCTGTGCTTCTGCGTTTGTCACTTCCATGTTCGTCACCACGTTTGCCTACGTCATCCGCTGGAACACCACTCTCTCGTGTACGCGCATAAGAAGGTTAGCAGAAGCTAGAGATTATTATTTCTTATAATATTGATATTTTTCTTACACAAACGCATCGCTTTGCTTCAGAAGGCCTTTATTAACCCCCGGAGCCGTGTGGAGTACCTTTCATGATGGATTTATACCCTTTATTTTGTTTCAGAATCTCTACAGCCATTCACTGCCATTTTAAAGCATTGAAGCGCCAGGACATTTTTTTTTTATACAACTCCGACTGTATTCGTCTTACAGAAGAAAGTCATATACACCTAGGATGGCTTGAGGGTGAGTAAATCATGGGGTAATTTTCATTTTTGGACGAGCTATGCCTTTAAGAAAGTAAATAAAATCAATTTTGATTTGATGCTTAACTTCAATATTACTTTTTCATAATGAATTCGACAGAACAATGTAGGTTTGCTTAAACACCTACTTTGTGATGGCATGAATGAATCTAGTCTTAAATGGATATTTCACCCCAAATTTAAAATTGTCATCATTTACTCACCCTCACCCTTTACTCAGAAAAAAGAAACTCATACAGGTTTGGAACAACATGTGGGTGAGTAAATGATGACGATTTTCATTTTGGGGTGAACTACCCCTTTAATCTATGTTTTGAGATTTTCAAGTTGGAATCTAGTAAGCTCTTCTTACAATCATAAACTCAAGAAACAACATTATTACACTATATAAACTCTGTGTAAGCAAGCAAGGCTTCTGAATTATCTCATATCCTCCCTGATTTAAATAGTGCATTACTTTTACATACATCTGTAGAGCCCATAATAACATTTAAGACACCTTAATGCAGAATTAAAAAAAGATTAAAAGACTAAAAAGATTCTGCCTGCCCATGTGCAAGATTTTAATCTGGAAAGCTTGTAAAAGTGAGTGCCAAATTTGTAAAAACCCTATAATTCACAATTATCTCTGGCCTGAAATGCTCCTGCCTATGTGCTGCCAAACCCACAAAGCCCACAGACTCATATATGGAGAAGATCTTACCAGTATTGTGGTGACGATGAGCATCTTGTTGGCTAAGGTTTCAGACGTGTTGATGTCTAAAGATGTGGAGTTCATAGCCAACGTGTTATTGGAGTACCAGACACCGATCTGCACATGTGAAGTAAAAAAAAAAAAAAAAAGATGCCTCGCTTTAATAACAAAGGCGGCACAGTTAGAACTACTTCCATGAACAAATCTAAGCTGAAAGAGCTAAATCATATAAAATCATTTGCGACCCATTTAAAAACATGTCTGGTCTCGCAGGGGGGAAACAGGCAGGAATAAACGAGTTGAGCGAATAAGACGAGGGGATGAAGGAGAGATAAAAGAGCATGAAGCGAGGGATCAATACTATGATCAATAAGAGAGGAGTGAAGTGGTGATTACTCCAGCTACCACCCATTCATTAGACCTCACAACCTCTCCCGTGATTCCGGATAAAATGCAGAGTTAGTGTTCATGAGAATGAGTTTGTGTGTGTGTGTGTGTGTGTGTGTGTGTGTGTGTGTGTGCGTGCGTGCGCACGTTACCTCTTTGTGACCCCCCTTGAATTTCTCAAGAATACGCAGAGTGTAATTGGTCCTCTGGCCTTTGCTGTTAAACTCCACGTGGCCTGTTAGGCCGTCATACTCTACCTAAAATGAAAGAGAGAGAGAGGTGGGATTTAAACCAAGGGTAACAAACAAGAATGACGAATAGCACTAATTTTGACCTACAATATTAAGGTAGAAATTACAGCGCAGGCGGCGAAAAAGAGAGAGACAGCCAGAGGACAAACTTTGAGATGATTAAGAAAGTTAAGGTGAAGTGTCACTTCTGTTCCACCGGCGTCACCAAATGCAATCGCAAAAATAATGACTGTTTTCATTATTATTGGCAAGAGAGGTAAACACTTGGAGTTATGGAGACAAACCGAGAATGGCGGACGAGAGGAGGTGCGGAGATGGTGCCAAATAGAGTGCTGAAATGATGGAGTGATGGACAAACTGCAAAACAGATGGAGGGACACAATGAATGAAAGAGCGCACTTGTGACTAGACACCACAAACACCATCTAGGATCTCACAGAGTATAATAGCTGCATTAAAATGATAAAATACAAGCAGGACAGGTTGCAATAAACTTTGCACATCTGGTGTTAAGGGCACACTTATAATTGCTCTGAAACTAATGTCAGTTGTAAAATTACTGTGGCTGGGTATAATCATCACAGAGGACATAAAAGTCCTACTGCATTGGTCATCATCAGGCCTGTCGATGGATGGGACAACTGGGAACATTGTCCTGGGCTCTGTGACAAAGGCAGCCCATTAAGCACTCCAGCTATTTGTGAATTATTATTTTTTTTTAATTAACATTAATTTGTTGCACTTTAATTTGTAGCCTATGAGGCCTGTGAATTCAATTCAGCAAGTTTCTAATTAAATTAGTAATTTATGTCATCTATATGCATAGATTTTGCATTTATTTTATTCATTTAGTAATTTATTACTAATTTAGTAATATATTTAATTATATACACATTTTTTTTTTAGATTTAAGTTGGTTAATTTGCCGCTGTTATTGCTGTTTTCTGCATAGTTTCGCACTGCTGAACTGTGCTAAATGTTTCTTGATGATGTTAAATGATGCTCAGCGACACTCGATGCACAATAATGCATTGGCAAAGGTTTAGATTTATTGCAGAGTAAATTGAAAAGCAACCGTCATAAACTCTCTGAATCTTGTTTATCGACGCCAAGGGGCCGCTGCATAGATTACAAAGATTTTTTTTCCCCATAGCATGCACTGATAAACTGTGCACAAAGAGACCGGGAACGTATGTTGAGAAAGTAAATAAGGTCAATTTCAGTTTCATGTTGACTTTAACACAGCCTATAAAAGCCAATAAGCAGTTGCACGCAGAATCACATCAACATAAAAACCATATTAAAACGAGGACACTGATGATTAGGCTTCTACAGCTCATCAGAGACAACATCAAAGTGACATACAGTAACAACAAGACTAAACACTAAAGTCATCAAACGCAGCAGTCAGAAAATGGCTGCAAACGGGGTAGCCATGGTGACACGTACCATGCGCAGGTAGTTCATGAGACTGGTGCCGTGCTGCCAGATGAGTGAAGACGTGCAACTCAGAGGCTTCACTCCGATCTCCTGACTGCGGTTCAGTTCTCGCACCGCTCCGACCACCACATGCACTGCATCGAACATCAGCGCTGATGACAACTGTAGGTGGAGAGAGAGCATGAGAGAAACGAGACGAGAGGTACGCCGAGGCGAATATAGAAAGAAAGAAGAAGAAGAAAAAGAGAATAAAGGAAGGTAGAATTGAGAAAGACAGCAAATGAGGTCATTACGGGGGCAAGGAGACTTCACGTCTGTTAGGGCCCTACAGCAACTGTCTTGGAGTTCCTAAATTACGTTGTGTGGCACACATCCTACTTGGACACATTTCGAAAAAACCTTCTGGCAGAAATAACATCTCATTATTCCATAGATTTAGTAGTTACTATGGTTTACAGTACGCAGTTTTTTCCAATCTAAGCAAATCTCAGCAAAATCTGGTTTAAATAATGCAATGGAATGTCAGTCAAATTACTGAAATTATGAAGGCTCTTGGAATTTAAAAAAGCATTTTTAGATGCAAATGGAACCAGATACATCACTGTTATTCATATGCATCTCCTGACAGATAAAAGTTTTAATTGCTTGATTTAAGAATGTTAACAAAATCACAACCTCTCACACTTCAAGTAACACAACAGCTCATATACAGGTAAAGGGTTTGCGTCCTAATGCTGAATTGCCACTGATTAATATATTTGTGAGTTGTAATGTTTCTCATATATTATTTAGTATTATTTAGTAAGTCTATCTTTGCAAGCTCACCGCTGGACCAGGATAGGGGCTGAGATCACAACCTTCCCTCCATGACAGGTTTAGACTCCTGATGAACTCTAAGTAGAACGGATGACTGCTGTTCAACATGGAGAAGCCAACGATATTTGACAGATCATCTACCACATCATCCAACCTCAACAGAGGGAAATCCTGAGAGAGAGCGAGAGAGAGAGAGAGAGAGATTATAACACCGTTATTTAATACAAAACATCAAATGTGAACAATACAAACAAGCTATAAACCTCACATTAATTTATTTAAATCATTTAAAATATGCATCGTTTTCAGTCCAGCACAACATTTCTTTTCTACACCCCAAAACTCTTCAAAATTTTCTAGTTTTTCCATGTGTGAATAAAAAAATTAATTTGTGTTTTATTCTTGCCTTAATAAGCCCCTTAAACGACAATTCAACATTCTTATTACAGCCATAAACAATTCGGTTTACTAAATAGACTGCCATTTTGGCTTGGCCTAAAATGAAGTCTAACAATCGTCCTTTCTTCGTTTTTTCTTAAAAAAAAATAAATAATATATATATATATATATATATATATATATATATATATATACACACATATATAAATAAATATATATATAAAAACCGGGGAAATCCTGAGAGAGCGAGAGAGTTACCAAAAAAGTACTGGACATAGAATGCTGTGATTTTGGCATTTAGAAATAGTTTAATTAACACTTCCCTTACGAAAATTAACCATGGTTTTACTACAAATTAAACCAAAAAACCATGGTTACTACACTTTTACTGCAATAAAACCATGGTTAATTTTCGTAAGGGTTTACTTAATAACATCTACAAAAGTGCACATTCTTGCCCTGCTTCCCAATGTGCAAACTATCCATCCTATCTGCCCTAAATAGCACTGAAATGACTAATATCACATAGAATTTAGGATGGATAGTATATGCACATTGGGACGCACACGCTAATCACTCGCTCTGCCACGCCATTACACGTTCTGTCAGTTGGTGCGCATGCGCATAATCCTTTCCTCATATTACCAAAAACAGGCGCGATGTTCATATACTTACTGTACACCGGTGTCGCGATGCAGGTGAGTGTTTAACAGTTAAAGTATGAATTACTCATGGTTTTCTCACAGTATTTAGTATAAATTGTTATTTTTGTCAAACATTTAACAAGCACTGCTAGTCAGCCCAGTTTGGCCGCTGTTTTACCATCCTGTTAGCGTGAGCTGAGGTGAGTTTACTAGAATATTCTCTAACACCTTGTCAGCACTGCTTTACGATATTGATATTTAAATTTGACCGTTTTACGGATGAAAACTCGGTCTGTATATTATTTAAAAGCATTATTAATATAGTAAAGAAGTTGCTGTAAGTTATTGAAGAGATTATAGTTATTTATTGACGTTCAGGGACATACTAGTAAAAATATGAGAACTTAATCATTGCATATAAACAATTTGTGGTTTAGACTATTAACACTGCAACACAGTAAAGCTGAGTATACTGAGAGCTCTTAAAAGTAAAATGTAAATATATGTTTGATTTTTTTTGTAATGTCATCACTGCGTTTTTCCAGATATTTGTCTCCAGATATTGTCTTGACTTGTAATGATGTAGTGTGACTTCAACCCTTTGTGACTGCAAACTTAAACACAGCTTTTAATACATTTAATTACTAATGAACAGATTTGAAAACTATTGATTTTGAAAATCTTGAAATGACAGAAATGAATGCAACAGTGACATTCAACAATAATACAACTATTTTACAGTGCATAAAATTATATTACACATTTATAGTGATTTAATAAATGTGTGCTTCACTCAAATTCAATATTTACATATCATTCAAAAAAGGTCTACAGGATTTTTAAATAGCTACATTTGCCCAGCCAGTTTTTGCAAATATCTGCTCCTCCCTACGGGATTGGGAAAACCCTCATCCATAAATAAATAGTAATTTACTGAAGGCAATATTCAACCCAGCTAGAATTCCACTCAACGTAAATGGTGCCCACCGGGAACGTTCAAGGAAAACATAAAAAATTGGCTCAAATTGTTTTAGAAAAAAGGGACTATTTTAGCTGTCCTTGAGTACCATGGCTTTCACCTTGTCTACCAAATCAATCAGCTCTTGTGCTTTGTTATTTATTGGCAAGTGGATAATCCCAAGAGGTACAGTAGGCAGTGAGTTTGTCAATGGTAAAGTCAACAAAGACTTTTTCTATAGCCGTGTAGCAGCAGTAGGGAAGCTATTGGTGAATCCATCAATTGGTGCCAGAGCAAAGCAGCTTTTAGGTTATTTATCACAAACGGTTGCCATCTATATGGCAGCTGAAGGAGGATCCAACTCCTCCTACTGTATAAAGACACCCATTCAGTTTTTCATAAAGAGCTTCCCAATATGTCTGCATACATTGATCCCCAAGAAAATTCCCAACACTTTAAGACCTTCTAGAGTTGAGGTGCATTTCAAGCGAAGCCGTACAATGTCCTTGTTCTGTCATTGACCCTTTCAGCAGCAGTAGGCCTTTTGATTCCTCCTGAGGATGCTTGTAATACAGTTTATGAATGGAGGTATGACAGATAACGTTACTGCCTTTGAAGGGCTTGATAATGGCAAGTATCTTTCATCTTCCGTCTGCTCTCAATTAGATTGCTGACAATGTGAAACTGACAAGAAGATGACCTTATTCAAGACGCAGACTTAATTTTAGAGACTGCTACTAAAAGCCATCACTCAACAGCCACCAATCAAATATACATCTGCAGTATTGCCTGGAGGTTGTCTGCATTTGTCTCTGTTTTTTTGGAAAAAGCTTGCCAAAGTCAGATGAATAAAAGGCTAAGCTTGAATTTAAAAGTTTAAATGAGCAGTTTTAAGAAAAAAAAAAAGACTGAATTTCATTTTATTACGCTTTATAAAAAATGTATATAGAAAATTCTTTATTATGCCATAATGGTGCATTTCTAAATTAAAACATTCACAATAAAATGTAATTCAACTCATCTTCTTTCATACTCCTATTCATGTATCTTTAGACTTTTTTTGGTTGGCATGCTCTCAGCTAAATTGCTGCCTTACTGCAGAGTGAACTCTGGCTTCCTCCCAAATCCAAAAAGAAAAATAAATAAAAACTTCATAAAAACTGCAAGTTAATCAAATGTAATCTCTAAATGTTTAAAATATTAAATATTTGCCATTTACTGAGGCCATAAGAACCATTATGTTTGAACAGTCTTAAATCTTCTCTTCCAAGATTCAATTTGCCTCTCAAGGTCAAATGCTTTAGCCTACTTCACTTTAACTTGTAACAGTCGTATTAAAATCCTAAGCTCACAACAGGAGCATATGCGACCTCAAAACAAGGACATAATCCACCTCATCTACGATGATGATGATAAACGGCATGCATGCACTGTGCATCTGTGATGAGCTGGTCAGTGGCCAGGCCTGCCGTCGCTGTTATTGGATGAAAGTGGGTTAAGGGGAGAAAGGGTAGTGTGTCATTGGTGAAAGTGAAAAAAGGGGGTTTGTTTACCATTGTGGTGAGGATGTACTTGTAGAAGGCTGACGTCATGCCTAATTCTGAGGCCTAGAGAGAGGAAAAAACAGCAAGAGATATGTTGTATATCAGAAATCTAATTGTAAGTCATACTACTGAGTTGAGTCATATTGAGTCATGTCAGGTATCTGTTTTTCAGTCGTGTTGAATATAAAATCTAAAAACAACAAATCAGGTATTTAAAAAAAATCAAATTTTAACTTGGCAATAAACTAAATTTAAGTATTTAGAAAAAAATATACTGTAAATATACAATATTTGTTTTCACTTAAATTGGAAGAAAAAAAATATGAATTCAGAAAAAAATCAAAATACAGTCATTTTCATTTCTGACTTTTTGACCCCTATATGAGCACACATACCTTCTTTAGTATTAGTATTGACACGGATGCATTGGCATCAATGATAATAGTCGCAACTTTGTCATCACGGATTTCTTTCAGCAGGGGGGTGGGGTCCAAATTTTCATCAAGCATTCTGACTGAGAGTGTTTCCCGGGATATGAGGAAGTGACGCACAAGCTCCTCCAATTGCAGCAGGCCTGAGATGTAGCATAAAACCCCATTATAGCATTATACAACTCATTTGGGCAAGCATGTTAAAAAACATTGTCAACATATATTCCTGGGCGTTTGTGAAAAATTTGTAAGACTCATAAATATTATTAGAATTCTTTTACTATGACTGTATATCAGAATGGGCATTCAGCATAAATATGTCAGGTTGTGATTAAAATAAATGTCATGTAACCATCTAAAACCTTTTAACAACTTTCATAAACTGTCAGTTGCTGTAAACCTTACCTTTCTTTCCACCCTGCTCCTCCGTATTAAAGTCAGTGACTATCGAATTAAGTGACTTTGAGAACCAATAAAGTTAATTCCGTATGTACATAAATTTGTGCTCTAAGCCACCACAAAATCCATATGGTGACTCCATTGATTTTGGACTGCAGTCAACAAGATGCATGGCTAACGATAACAGCAGGGGGAAGTGATGAAAGAGTGCTTTCTCAAAAAAACCAAACAAACACCATGTATCCATGCTCTCACACATCCACATCGGTAAGGAACCAACGTGTAGATGAGCACATCCATGCATGCTAATGCGCACAGAGAACTCAAACCCAAACGTTACCGCCTGCATCTTAAACAGACAAACGCTCACTTTCACTTTAACATGAGCACAGAATGCGATAATTATATGGAAAAGGATGGGATAAGTGCAGATATGCAAACAGTGGTGCATAAAACCAAAGCACCATTACCCAGACCATACCAATCAAGCGAGAGCTGCTCGCATCAGCAAGTCACGAGAGATCAACTTGCAGTCAGCATCGTAACGGCTCACATACGTTTCACTCTAGTGCGCTAACTACTTCTCATTAAGCTGAGTCAACAAAGTAGAACAAATACAATTCATATTTCTTCTTGTTTGCTTGCTTGTTGACACAATCCTTAATGTGATGTCCCTCAGATCAGAGGGAATCTGGATAGCACTGCTCGTATGAAAAACTGGAAAAATCACCTGAAAGCCAGATGTGCTTTTTTAATTAAGAAGTGAAGTACTCAAGTGTTTCCAATCCCTTCAACCGTGACTATATTAACAGTTAAACATGGTTACATATGGTAAAATCCCATACTATTGGTTTTATTTATTCTACTTTTATTCTTTATGTATTTTTCTTCAGTTTTAGATGAATGGAAAATGTTGCAAACCAAATTAGAATTTGTGTTGCTTATATACGCACTATGAACTAATGCGTGTGTGCTAACTGCTAATCCACAACACCTTGAATATAATGTCATTTTTATCATCATGCAGAAAAATGAATCCACACGTATAAAGCTAATAAGAGGTTTAATCTTATAAAAACATGTAATTTGCTGAAGCGGTGGCATAGACGTTAATAACATCATATAATACGCACAAAGCCTAAGGATAATGCACTTGCGTTAAAAACAAAATGAATTGCGGCGTGAATCGGCTACTGTGAAATGAATTATAAAGGGTACTGTGCACAATGAACAGTTCAGTGTGATCTATAACAGCAGAAAGACAGAATGGCCAGTTCATAGTTGACTGTGTCTGTGTTTTCCCCGCAGACTTACACTCTGCTTTGGCACAAATCAAGCTGGCCGTCGGGTAACTGAAAGAGCGCAGGATGGCACCGATGGCCAAGCTTAAGTCCTCGTTGCTAGGATACAGCGTCACTGAGGCAAAGCGCAGATATGGCAAGCGCGGAGTCTCCTCTGGACCAATCTTGATGTGAGGGATCTGAGAGGAATAGACAAGAATAAGGTAAATAATAGATTGTGGGATTGACTAACATGGGGTTTTCCATGGCTGATGCCAATATCTAAAGCAGCGGTTTTCAGTCTTGGTCTCAGGGGACCAACAGCACTGTACATTTTGTACATCTCTCTTTTTTAACACAGCTGATTCAGAACATCAGCTGGTTAAGAAGCAGCTCCATTAACAAACCTGAGCATGTGACGTTTTAAAATAAATTAAAATAGAAAACAGCCATTTTAAATTCTAATAAGATTTCACAATTTTACAATTTTTTATTAAATAAATGCAGCTATGTTGAGCATAAGAATCTTCTTTAAAAAAAAACAAAACAAAAAAACAATATTGATTGGCAATTAAA